GGGAATACCGGAGAAATGAACGTTTGAGTGGTGTTAAAATAAGACATTTCCTCCGGTGGTCGGGGGCACATTCATTGTTAAAATCCCCGCTACTGTTGCCCCGCTATTTTGGTAGTAGTAAATAACCAAACAAACATCTTTCAATGAAATTTTCTGTGATACACAGGGTTAATTTTTGCACAGTCCTGTGTATCGCTTAGGATTCCTGTCCCGGAAGTCAACTGGTGCTCCACTAAAAGAGCTTACTTCTATAAATTTGCAAAAACACTTTTTTCTTTCGTGTTTTATCCGATCTCCTACTAGAAGTTGAAGTGTTTTAAAACTAATCTACAATTTCCCGCTATTTATGATTAACAACGAGACGAGCGCGCCTTAACACCATATATGGCTTCACCACAGGAAGACCAAGTAAAGAAAACATGGAGTCAACTGTAGATGTCAACTGCGTTTTACTACTGTCTATCTCCTCACCTTTCAAGGAAGTAGAAGGAGTCCAAAGAAACTTCACAGAATTGGTGAATCGAAAGTCAGTTTCTTTAAAAATCCATTTTGAAGCAGGTGTTTTTTTGAAATGTAAAGGATGCACGTTACTATCTGCGCGGTCGATCACGAACGATAATTGCTAATATTTTTAGGACGAGAGTCAAGCCTTAGACGATTGCTTCGAAATGATTGTCTTTGGTCACTACTGGATAGCATCATGAAGCTTGAAATGTAGAAGAGCTAATCTTCTGAAAGAAACAAGGAGAGGATCACACTTTCCATGAAAGTATTCTGAAAAGTGTGTTAGCTTGACCAAACGCAATTTTCATCATCTGCCATATAAATATTTGTGACTTTTCATTATGAAACAACACACCGACAACAAAATTTTGGTAGAATTGAGGAAGGGCTTGACACTTAATATATTTTTAAAACTAGCGATTTTTTTCAAAAGGGTAATGCTGCGAGATATGCTCATAATTTTATACCGGCAACAGGGGAAGTAAGAAAAAAACCTTTGAAATTTATAATACATCAATGCATCTTATTATTTTGTGGTTGGAGTTTTCTTGTGGCTCTATTACATTTTGATCCACGTATATTTTGTTTCACTGATGCAATGTAATTACTAATAAAATGAATAAACAGTAAGAAGTATCATAATGGATAATGTGCCTATAAATAAATAAAAGGTTAATGTAGAAACCAAAAGACTTTCTATAATTGTAGAATCATATAAATTTATTAATTTCTAAAATCACAAAAATTGTAACAATGATGATTTTGTTTTTTGAAAATAATTTTAAGTAATAACATTTATTTACATGTTATAAAGAACATGTTTGTTTATTCAGTAACTTATAACTTAATAATAATCTCATAATCTCAACAATAACAAGGATAAAGAACAATTAATAATTGTAAAATCATATATTCATTGATTTAAAAAATCTCAAAAATGACACATAGCTATAACAAGGATAAAGAACAATTAATAATTGTAAAATCATATATTCATTGATTTAAAGAATCTCAAAAATGACACATAGCAATAACAATGATAAAGAACAATTAATAATTGTAAAATCATATACGTATTCATTGATTTAAAAAATCTCAAAAATGACACATAGCTATAACAAGGATAAAGAACAATTAATAATTTGTAAAATCATATATTCATTGATTTGAAAAAAACACAAAAACTGAAACAGTGAACAGTTTATGGAACGGATTATGCATGGACTTCTTTGACAGTGTAAGATGCGAAGTCATAAGTGATTCTTACACTGTCAAATGTTACCAAGATATCTTCGACATCCTGAGCTGAACTGGGGATGCTGGCTGTATTATTTTGCTCATTGTGGATTTCAACTAATTTCATCACACAGTCATTGAAGAATGTCATATTCACTTTGCTTGATTCTTTTTCAAGTAAGAGTTTGGCCCAATATTGAATTTTAGCATTTTTTTTGTTAGATGTTATTTTGCAACTGGAGCATTTTACTGAATTTTTCCCTTCCTGGAGTTGTACTCGTTTTGAACAGTTTGAACACACAGGATACTGGCCGATGGATACCACACCAATTACCATAAAATCATCTGTCGCAGTGTTTGATGGTAGCTCTTCTGGTGGCTCCAAGTTGGGGAATGGGGCAGCTTTTGCAATAGAACATCCAGTTTGTGTCGTAGAGAGAGACAACCTTGAGCCATCAGACTTTAACCGCAAATTAGTGAACTGATAAGTTTCACCATGTTGAACTTGCTCTGTGAATGTATCCCAAAGTGATAACTTTATTGACGTGTTACTTGGGTCAGTTAACTGACACTCCCTAACCAAAACGTTTTCTTTGGTTTTCTTCTTTTCAACTTCTTTGGTTGGAGTTAAATGGGAGACCATTGCGATGACAGTTAGCAATTGCCCTGGTCGTATATCTTTTAAAGATCCAATGGTCAGCAATTTGGCACTTAAATCTGCTCTTGGGAATGATAGGCTATTTGGGAGCTCTTGTAGCCTCGATTGTTTCTCCTGAATAATAATATCAACAGGATAGCCTTCACGTTTCCGTCCTAATTTGAAGTTGCTCAACTTCACAGGGGATTTGTTTTTTTCTGCTTTCTTGAACGTGTCTATGGTTTTTGAAGAAGGTCCAAAACATACCCCCCTAATGTTCCCAGTTTCTGTCTGCAAATTACGGTCGAACCATTGGACGCTGCTGTCAGTTGATTTCACATGGGAAACGTTATGGACATAACCTTCTATGCCAGATTTCATATTGTTTTCATTGATTGTAGTATCTGTAATGCACAAAAAAATGTATCTGAGTACCGATATAAATTTGAGCAAATATTGTAAACAATATCAAAGACTGTTGTGAGAATAAATATGACATTGTTCCAATTGTCATATGAATCATTAAATTTTTTTCGCATTCGTGTATAATGATCTAGAATGCCAGGTGTCTTGCAATGAAGAACTGACATTGTATCTTTTAAAATATTACATGAACAATAGAGAGCGGATTTCGGCCGTATATTGTTACTTCCATGCTTATTTGGTTTGGTTATGAAGATGTATCTGTCAAAGGTATCCTGTCAAATTCTGAAAAAATAATTTATAGATGAATATTTGAAACCTTACATTATAATCATGAGTTTGCATTTATAAACACCTTAGTGCACAATAATACCAAGAAAACAAAGAAAAAGTATTTTTACATTTTTTGAATGAAATTCTAATAAAAAAAAAGAAAACTTACCTAAAAATATTGCTTTTAATAATCATTATAAACAAATTAATACATATTATACATGTATAGGCATGTATGCATATGTTGTGCATAATTTCTGAGAGAATGTAAATTTACAAATGTCATGGAATATGTCCTTAGCCTAATTATACATACTATATGTTGCTTGTGCTATTTGATCTAATCTTGCTTCTTCATCAAGCCTGTATTGTAAAGCTGATGATGATTTTATACTATTTAATCTTTCAAAAGTCATCGGCTCCACAACACAAGATGACAGTGTTTTCACTCTACTAATTGCAACATAAGACACTCCAGAAGTTCTCTCTGATTTACCAATATCAATGCATGCTTTTGATAATGTAAGACCTTGACTCTTATGGATAGTGAGAGCATATGCTAGTTTTAGAGGAAGTTGTTGCCTTTCATGAAAGCCATCTACTGACTGAGCTGAGACAGTAACTGGACATATTGGTACACATGATGGTAGTGTATGACTGATAGATGGGCCCCTGTAATCATCAAATTGAACAATCACAGCAATAGGTAAATCTGGTGGATGGTGATTATCTTGATATATGATATCAATTACTTTACCAGTAGCCCCATTACATAGGCCAACACTTGACCACAAGTTCATTGTTAACATCACTTTGGCAGCCTTAGCTAAGAAAATGGTTGGCTCTAGACCTGACATTTCATCAGAGGGCATGTTCTTTGCTACAGATGATGAATGAAGAGCATTTATATGAGCAACAGGATGTTGAAGTTGGATGAGTTGTTCATGATTATATTTCGCAACTTCATTATTGCTATAGTATAGCCTAATAGCATCATCAAACTGAGATATCTCTGCAATTGTTGATGGTTGACGAGTCAACAGCAATTGCCAATCTTCAAGAGTTGATTCACCTTTACGGAGTCTTAAAAGCAAATTTCTGAATAATTCTTGTTGCAAAGATATACCTTGAACTCTTTGGTTAACAGTTAGTTTCACAACTTTGTCAAACATTTTGTATGTTTGAAAGCCTTGTTCCCCAATAGCATTAGATGGTTTTGCATGACGAAGTGGTTTATCACCAAAGGGTGGTAACTGGCCTGGATCGCCAATTAAGATTAATGATTTTCCTCCAAGTACTTTATCAAAGCATCCTGTTGCTTGTTTGCAACGTTTATCTATCCAACCAAATTTGTTTGACCGAGCATTGAATACTCATCTATCAGTATATAATCAATTTGTTGTAGATTCTGTTGTAGCCTTGATAGAGCCATTCCTTTCAAGTCATTGTTGCCTCTTGGGCCAACTGGTAATTTCAGCAGTGAATGTATAGTTATACCCCTGATATTATAAGATGCTTTACCTGTTGTTGCAGTGACTGCATATTTATTTTGTAAAAGATAACGTAATGAATTAATGAGGTAGCTTTTACCTGTACCTGCTACTCCTATAATTATAAGACAGAGAGGATCTTTCTCTACTGAAATGTCTATGTAATGATTCTTAACAATATCATAAGCAAGTCTCTGCATTTCACTGAAACTATCTATGTCTACAACTTGATAAATGTCGGTTGATTGTTCTTTGTGGTTTTTAACCCATGTAGGCATTTCGCCGATCTGTTGTTCATTATATTCAGCTCTATCTTGTTGCCAACAATTATGCAATGATGATGGGTCTTCACTACTATTTTCAAATGGTATATGGAGATCTGATATTATCATCCATTCTTCACGAGTATTATTGCAAGGTTCAGCAACAGGTTCACTATCAGGCTCATCCTGATTGTGAATAACATCCTGAAGTTTGTCAAACCAATCAGGTACATTAGCCTGTGCATATGGTGTTTGAAGAAATTCAAGCCAACAAGTAATGAATACCTCTGCAGATGGTTCCTGGTCATTCCATGCATTATCTTTAGTTAATACCCATGGTTTATATCTCAAAAGCTGGTATTTACAATAGGTTGAGAAATTAGATCCTCTAGGATTAGAGGAGTAAGTTGGAAATATGCGTGGTACAACATTTGGTGGATGTTCTGTCAATTTACCGTTCGCAACTTTAAATTTAGTTGTAAATTCAACAAAATTCATAGCTCGTACACTGGAGGAATTGTCATATGTCTGACGATTAGCATAGGCATCAAGCACTGAATTATCAGTGTGTAAATCACCACATTGTGAATCAATATGTACTCTACGTGAGCCATTCAAACTCACTGGTATAACATTGAAAGATGAGCTATTTAATTTCAATGATGGTAAATAATGCATAGTCTCCTGTGCAGCATAGTCCCTTTCGCCAAGAGTTTTCATAATGACTTTCTTTATAGCTTTGTGTGGATTACTGGCTGAGTCAGCACTTTGAACTATTGAGTTGAAAGCTTGTTTTAGTATTGGTGATCTGGGTTCACCTTTAGCGGCATACTTAGTAAGATATTCAACACAAGCATAGTGATCAATGACAACTTGTATGTCACAGTTGGCTCTCCAGCCTTGAAGTTGGACTCGCTGGTTATTATTCAACCTACTGTCATTGCGCTTAGTAACAATCTTAGCTCTGTATTGTACTTCAGTGTTGTTCTTACTGTGAACTTTTTCAAATTCCAGTTTTGTTTGTGGGCAATTATTAAATGGAAAGTGAAATCTACATTTCAAGTCAGAATCTTTACCTTTCTTTCTTAAACAATAGCTAGTACTACAACGAGTATGGCGTTGTACCATGTTTAGAAGATCTACATAGTCTGAATCACTGTCCCAATCAGGAATGTCTTTATAATGTTTCTGACAGGGATGTACCTCTGGCCTAATCCACAACTCTTCATCAGGTGAATTGGGGTTAACAGTTGACAGCAACCAATCAACATACTGACAGGCTGTTTCTGCAGCTTTATCTCAAGCTTCAATATCTAAGTCAAGCTGTGCATCATCAGTAAGAGGGTTTTTCTCTTTCAAAGTCTTAGCTAAGAAACCCTTTAAGGCTATCTTGGTGAGTTCACACAGGCCTGGATCATTATTTAGTTTAGCAGTACCATGACAATGAATACTACCTCTACCTTGGTATTCAAATCTATACCAATGCCATTTGGCATCAAGGGTGCCATACAACCAATACTTCATAAAATTATCCAACCTTTGAGTGAAAAACCAATCAACAATATGAGGATTATTGATTACATTTTGACGCCTTTGTTCACTTGTAAAACTACTATCGTTGTTCTGAAAGAGGGCATGTAATTCAGGCCAATGCATATCAGCTGATGAAAAGGTAAAAAATAATGTTGGAGTCCCAACATTGGTAACTATTGCTTTCAGGTCTTCTTTTACTCTATGCCAGTATGCATTTGTACCAGCAATGTTGGCAACATACCTAGAAACCTTACACATAAAGACAACTGAATTATCACTTTCAGCCATTTCACGCAATTCATCTATGGTAAGATGTGCCTCACCAGGATTTTGTTTAAGAAAGATACCACTCTGTTGCAATGTTCGTTTTCTGAGAATCATATTAAAAGCCCAGTAAGCAAATCTTGGGTGGCTAGCAAAGCGATAAATCCATTTGCCATTTACATTTTCAGCAAATTTAATGAGATGTTTTACTCTTTCTGCAAGAGGAACATCCATTACCAAAGCCTGATTAGTTGGATCTCCTTTTCCATCAGGGAATAATGTAGGGAATGCCATAGTGGCTAAGAAAGGTGTCTGATACTCATTTACAGGTCTATCTTGAACTGTAGGCCAGTTTAGTGGTTCATTCGCAGAAATTTGATTTCTTACTGCATCTAGTTCTTGTTGCTGTTGTTCGCCAACAGGTAAAAAGCTACTCATATCAATAGATTCATTATAAGCTCTGTCTTCAAAAGGGTTATCAGTAGGTGGCCCTAAATCAACCTCTGCATTGTTATCTGAAATAATTGCTTCATCACTTTCAACTGTCAAAAGATCAACAGGTACTCCATTGATAGGCAAAGCATTTAAAGCATGTTCATCAATTTCTACATCTGAATAATGAGGATTATTATTTGTTAGCCACAATAAAGCATCATAAACTTTTTGTTTCCTTACACTGACATCCTTAAATGTATTATCTCTACCCTTGACTTTGACAATAATAACAGATAGGTCTTTAGGGTATCTTGGCAATGACAATGCAAGTTCTTTTACATTTTGTGGCAAATTAATACAATGACCAGAGTAACCTCTTTGTCCTCCTGGTTTAATATAAACTCTCATTATAGGCAAAGCACGAGCAACTAACATCTCTTCAAGTTGGGATAAACCTTGCAGTTCGACTGGAACTCTGGATGGAACCATTGCATTTTCAGCTGAGAACTTTTTGGGGGATTTTTTATCCCTTGAACATCTCGAACAGATATAACTTGATGGATTTCTAGGTTTAGATTTTAAAGGCCATGCTTCATGGCAAATAGTACAGTGACAAAGAAGATATGTATTGGAATTATGAAACTTATTACATATTAGTTTTTGCCCAGCTTTGGTCATGAAGTTGACCATTTAGTGATGCATTAAATTCTTGTAAATAGTTTTGTTGAGGACTTGTCTCACATTTTTTATGTTTTTTTTTTTATTTTCGTAATAGGATTTTCTCTTATCTAGTCTAGCTTGGCTTTCAGATTCAGTTTCTTTTGAAATTCTTTTATGTTCATAAGCATTTCGCTTATCTAGTCTAGCTTGCCTTTCAGATTCAGTTTCTTCTGAAATTCATTTATGTTCATAAGCATTTCGCTTATCTAGTCTAGCTTGCCTTTCAGATTGAGTTTCATTTTCTTTTCTCTTTTGTCTCATAAGTCTTATCTTATCCAGTCTAGTTTGCCTTTCACATTTCGTTTCCTGTTCTTTTTTCTTTGAGTAATATGCTTTTTTTTTGGATAATCGTAATTCTCTTTCATTTTCTGTTTCACTGCATAATGTTCTTTTTTATACTCTCTAGGTCTGAGAAGATTTCTCTGATTTTGACATTCACCTATTTCATATACTTTTCTTTTGTTTGAATCAGTGTTTTCATTATGACCAATCAAAAATTCAGTTTCACAAACTTGTTGATTGATAAAATCAACTGGTACAATCTCAAATACTTCACATAACAATTGAAGTGACAAATCAACAAAATATTCTATTAAAATATCAATATTAGCACATTTCATAACAACATCAGTGCCATTTTCATCAGGCATACCAAAGTAGTTACGTGAATGAGAATCAAATACATAAATACCATCCATTGACTTAATTAAAGCCAGAATATAACCATCTAATATTTTAAATGCATAATTGTTATTAGTGAAAGTATTCATCAAGGCTGAATGTAAAGTGCAATATGGAGACTCGTTCTGATGCTCATCTGATAGAACTCTTCCCTGATAGAAATCTTTATAGTTTATCAACCACGAGTTGTTTGTTCGATGTTGTGCCTCGTTGGGCTCCACCACAATGGGCAGATTATTAGCATTTGATTGTTTTTGTGCCTCGTTGGGCTCCACCACAATGGGTAGATTACAATGGGTATTAGTTGGTGGTGTACTGGAATGGTCCAACGACAAAGGCCATCGACAGTGATGCGGTAAATACTCGACCGATATTGTCTCTGAATCTGGGATTTCACCTCTTTCAAGAGCTTTCAAATACATGGTATCCCCTTGAATCAATATCTGATCGACAGTAAAACTACTCCATTGATAAACGGGAGAGACTTGAGCACACAATAGCGCCGAAAAGCTCATAAGAGAACATTGTCTTCCCCGAGAAATGTCACTAAACAGTTCGTGACCTTGATGAATACTTCCAGAAACATACACGAAAGGATTTTGCATAGTAAATTTCAATAATAATAACGTCTTACCTCTGTTGATGTTTGTGCCAAAGACGTCCTCTCTGTTCTAAAAAATCAACCCCTACAAAAATCCGCCCACAACCAAAACGTTTACAAAACGTCCAGAGAGTTGAAATTCGAACGCGTGGGGAGCGCAGTTGTCATTTCGGCATAATTTTCACGGATAAACCGCTGAACAAAATAAATTAGTGTTGTTGGGGTATTGTGACGTCATCGTCGCCCAAACACCAACCATGCAGTCAAGTCAAAGTTTCAGTTGGTTGCTAGCCAATATATAGCCCAGGTCACGTCCAAAGTTAACACAGGAAGTCCACTGTCGAAATTAGTGTCGCTGCTCGCTTTCCTACATAGACAGTAGGAAAGAATGCTCGATGACAAGGTTTACTTCCCAGAATGCATTGCAAGCATCAAAGAACTTTCAGGAAGATCAAAAATAGACGCAAAAATTACCATAGGTGAAATGTCAGGTAGGTCAAGGAAAGGGAGGCTTTTTGGCTTAAACTTAAAATTGGACTCGCCGACCAAAATTACATAAGAATGGGCCCTTTTCAGCTGCATAAGTAGTGTTATTACAAAAAATATTGTAACTATATAAGCCTTTTAGAATTACTATAGGTCAACTGTGAGGTCAGTCAGGGCCATGAAGCCATAATGGTTTAAACAGTTGATATGTGAATGCTGTTGAGCTTGATATTTGTCAATTTTCAGGACTCGAGAGCAAAGTCAAGATGTACATTGAAGTTCTGTTTGAGAAACTGGTCATTAAGGCTGTTTATTTGCTTTATGGGTTCCAGTCCTCCTCGGTCAAATCAATGGTAAGCATTTAGAGTAGGTTTGTGATGTTGTATTGAGACGGTTTCTTCGCAGAGACTTTTCAAGTGCAATAGAGCATCAGACTGTCATGTTTACTTCC